AAAAACCGACCGGCCCCGCCCAAGGGGAGCCCTTAATCCGCTTTTTTTATAAACGRAGTTATTTAAATATTGAATAGGAACGGACTTTTTTGTGCTTTTGTCCCCTGTGCCCCGTTATTTATTAAGCTTTTGAGTTGCTCTTTTGATAATTCTTGGGGTTTTTCACCCAAAAAACAAAAAGACAAAAAAAAAACAAACCGAAAAACAAAGTCTCACTTGAATTTTGGAGACTGTTCCCCCGCTGCCCTGCCCCCGCCGGCTCCAAGCCCGGCACTGCCCGGCCCCATTCCCGGGCTAAAAGAACCTCAGAATTCGGTGCTAAACCCCCCCACCCCACCCCGGGACCCCCCAAAACCCCGGCCCGACCCCCCCAGCCCGGGGGGAGCCGCTGTGTCCCGAGCTTTACCCGGGAAAACCCCGGAATGGGGCACGGGGACCCCCCGGGATCCCCCCAAATCCTTCCTGGATCCTTCCCAAATCTCCCCCCGATCCCATTGGGGGTCCCAAAATGAAGGATGGGGGTCCTGGGGGTGGATCCTGGGGTCTCCTTTTCCTCCTCGGCAGAGTGGGGCCCCCCAGGACCCCCAAATTTGGGGTCTGACAAAGAGGGGCACCCAATCCCAGCCCCCCCAACCCTTCAGTGCTGGGGGACCCCTCGCTGCAGCCCCCCACCCTTGGGGTCCCCCCAGCCCCCAAACCCTCGGATTTTGGGGGTCCCAACTCATGGGGACCCCCCCAACCGCAGCCCCCAAGTCATAGGAACCCCCCCCACCCCGATCCCAACCCCTCAGAGCTGGGGGATCCCCCCTTATGGAGACCCCCACCCATGGGGACCCCCACCCTTTGGTGCTGGGGACCCCTCAACCACATCCCCCCACCCATTGGGACCCCCCAAACCCATGGGGACCCCACCCCTCAGTGCTGGGGGACCCCTCGCTGCAGCCCCCCACCCATGGGGTCCCCCACCCCAATCCCACACCCATGGGGGTCCTCCCAGCCCCTTCCCCTGAGCTTTGGGGTTCCCACACCCCATGGAGACCCCACCCCATGGAGACCCCAGACCATCTTTTGGCTCTGGGACCCCCACCCACCCCCCATCCCT